TTCTCTCCGTCTCATACCTTGCTGCATGTGGGATTTATTCCGCCACTCTCCATTGAGATCCTTTGAAGGAAATTTCTATGGACCCAGACAACGTACAAGCGTGACCAGAGTACAGTTTCGGGGGACAATTTGGACTCTTATTTTCTGGAGCCTGGCACTACACGGGTTAGGTCATAGTTGAAACACTGACCGTGGCAGGCTATAAACATACCCTTTTTCTCTTTAGTTTGAGCAGGAATGGGGTTGGGGGACAAGGACATAAGCTTTTAGTAGAGGGGGAAGCTTGTACCCATACCGCACCTACATAGTTACGAGACTGCCCAGAAGCACTTTGGTGAGACAAACTCTTCAAAAATGTCTCGTATGGCCTTCCTGAAAATATGCCAGCAGTTGCATTTAAAGAATGTTGTCTAATAAATTAAGGGGAAAAAGTTTTTGATCAGATGCTGTAGATCCAGATATAACCTAATCAGGAAACTCCAAAAAGTTCGCTCATCACCGGTCTGAATTAAAGAAAAAAAGGATCTGCACTCTCTATGGTCATACCGACCCTTACAAACAAACATCAACGCCCCACAGAGCACGTCTAAGGAAAACATGTATGTTTTTATTTTATCTGTTCAAGTAAACATGGAAGCATCCGAATCAAACGCAGTGTCATTTTTCTTTAGAGTTCAATTATAACAAGCTAAAAAGGGCTTTTTTCTGTTCGTGCCAAGATGCGTATGCAGAATGTAGATTGCGTCATTCAGGGAAAATGGGGAGAACGAAGGGAACCCCTGCCCTGTGTTCGTTGTGGATAAACCCTTTTGCATGGCAAACAATGCACGACGTACATATTTTGCCTACTCTTCAGGGGATAATTATACCAATCCATTACTCAAAGGAGAGGAAACATTGTCAAACCCAGAATACATCACTAATAATATAAGTGGCAGCCCAGTGTTATTGCCTTCTAATCTTAAGTGGATATGAAATGTCCCATTCTCAAAACCGTTTGGGGTCGTACGCGGTCTTCGAAATCGTTCCAAGGTACGATCTATGATCAACTGAGAGAAATTGTGTCGCACAGCGAGACTTGAACATTCCTACGAAAAATGTTTATATCAAGTAATCTAAATAGTTAGTCAGTGATTGTTTTAATTTAGGTTTTTTTTTACATTTTATCTCCCTGGTTACTGTTTATATGAGCAGAAAACTCCCTCGGACAATTATTATCACTTAAAATAAGAGAAACATATTAATAGCCATTAATATATCAACCCAGACAGCCATTTCTACAAAGCGCCGTCTGTGTGTGTTATCAGTTCTTTGATGATCGACAAATCTCCAGAAATGAAGCTGTATTTATATCCTGCCATGTTGACCACGATTAACACCACGAGCCAATTAGGTTAGATTAGTGGCTATCAACAGGCCTACCACAAGAATGCAGTATTAACACCAACTTACTAACATAGCACTTAAGTAATTTATAATTAGAACCATCTACCTTGTGTAGTAAAACAACGCCTCATTAAGTTGTCCGTTTTCACTTTGAAGAAAGACTTTTTTGACTTTTCAAGTGGAAACTTTATTTCATTCCATTGAAATGAACAAAAATACAAAACGTTACAAGAAATTAGAATATTTAAAGATAAAAGATTTGTTTTAACATAACTGAAAAAAACAGAAGAATGTTCTATTAAAGAGATACAATATAACCGATAACAACTGTTAACAGTTGGAATTATTACAATCGGCAAGAAGACAGGTAGGGTGAACAAAAAAGAAAAACAGCAGCAGCAAAATTTAGTCAGGAACATTGTACAATACATGGAAGGAAATATACACTATTGACAAATTAACTAATGAAAATATTCTATGTGGCTCAGGGAGGGTTACTAGAAGGAGAGGTGGAGGGCCTGCGTCACGAGGCAGAGGGACTACGGCCCATATCTCGCCGAGGCGAGCTGCAGCCCCGGATTCAGGCCGGGCTGAGAGAGGGGAGGTGGGAGAAGGGGCGGAGTAGGCCACCGGCGTCTCTGGACGTGGGTAATTCTAACCACTGCCGTGGCCAAGCTCCTGGAAGGGAAAGGGGAGGGGGATAGAACAGTGATTAGATGAGCCATGTTATCGTACGATTGACCACAGTAAAGAAAGAGTCGTTAATATCATTTATCACAGGATTTGATAACAAAGAAAAAGACATTTAAATAAGGTTGAAAACAGATCACGTGAAAAATACAAATGAAGAATGAATACAAACAAGAAGTTACTGAACAACACACATACAATTTGCACAAATGTATGAACAGTATAATAGGTAAGTGAGACGGAAAGGAACATTTAACGATAAGTAACAAACACTAATGAGAAACCAAACTTACAAAGTATAATTAGATTCATAGAAACAGATAAACAATGAAGAAAAAACTCGAGGGTCTCACCCGGAAGTAGAGGTATAACACCACATTTCGTTTGCGCGAACAGCCACTTCCGGGGATACCCATTAAACATGGTAAAGAAATTCACGAGAAAAAATACAAACTTTGGGCATAAAAGATTGCATTGAGAAAATTAAGACACAAAACATGATGAAACATGACTTTATGACACACTGAATACAAACCGAAGTATAATCCGAATCGAAGTTTATGAAGTATAATAGATGTCACTCAAACACAATTTATGACAAGAAGCAATAGGGTAAGAAAGGCCCGCGTCACGGGACGGTGGGATCCCCTCGC